TTCTGGGCTTACTTAGGTTCACTAATGAAAGTCCCATGCATCATCCACATTGGTTGCGTCAGTTGATGAGCAAGCTCAGGCTCTGTTGGGCTTTGCCCCGATCGTACTATATGTCGGATATGTGAACTAGCATGTGGGCTTCGTTTTTGGATTATAATACGACCACATTCCGATCGAGTAGACTGGAACTATGCAGTCGCTCGCATCGCCAATATCAGCTCCAATCTTGACTCAATGCCGGGTCTGGTATGAATCAGTCGAGTTTTCAAGAAATCATTGGCAATTAAAACAATAAAATTTAATTTCAAATTCCGGCTTTTTATGAAATTTTCGGACGTCCAGCTTTCCACTCAAATCTTAAATGGTCTCAACAAGGCCAACTATATTGAAATGACCGATGTTCAACAGGCAGTGATTCCACAGATTCTCCTTGGAAGGGATATTCTGGCAACGGCAAAAACTGGATCTGGAAAGACCCTTGCGTTCCTGATTCCTATGCTAGAAATCTTGTCTCGACTGAAGATTACGCGCTCAGATGGTCCCTCTGCACTGGTTATATCTCCAACCCGTGAATTGGTAAAGCCTTTTTGTTTGACTTATGTTTCTAGGCTTTACAGTCGTTTGAGGTTTTAAAGAGGGTAGGACATCATTATTCAACCCTTTCTGCTGGCCTTGTGATCGGGGGAAAGTCCCTCAAGCAAGAGAAGGCAACCATATGTCGAATGAACATTATTATTGCCACTCCTGGCCGTCTTCTCCAGCACATGGATCAGACTGAAGGCTTTGAGCTCCGCTCGCTGAAGGTCCTAGTGCTGGATGAGGCCGACAAGATCTTTGAGCTTGGATTTTCAGCAACAATAAATGCGATCTTCGCCGGTCTTCCTCCGCCATCCACAAGACAAACCATGCTATTTTCTGCAACGCTAGCAAATAGTGTCAATGAATTTGCACGGCTATCGTTGAGGGACCCTCTTTCGATCCAGGTGCACGACCAGAAGGAAAAAAACGATCAAAAAACGCCACAATCGCTGCAAATGCCAGACAAATTGCAGCAGTTTTTCATGAGAGTCCCGTTTGAGAGGAAAATCGATTTTCTTTTTTCCTTCATCAAAACACACTTGAAATGTAAAATGCTCATTTTCGTGTCTTCTTGCAAGCAGGCGCGGTTTATTTATGAGCTTTTTTGCAAAATGCAGCCAGGCATTCCAATTACGTCTCTTCACGGGAAGCAATCACAGATGAAGCGAATCGCGTTGTTCAAAGACTTTTGTGCCAGAAATGCCTCTCTAATGATTGCCACAGACATTGCATCGAGAGGCCTGGATTTCCCACTTATCGACTGGGTCATACATATGGATGCGCCTGATTCCCTGGAAACATACATCCATCGGTCTGGAAGGACCGCTCGGTATGAAGCAACCGGGAGCTCGCTGTTGTTTGTCGCTCCTTTTGAGCTGGACACCTTTCCATTTCTTTCCAAACTGTCAAGCTGCCAAGAGCTTTCGCCGAGTGCTTCAAAGGTAGGGGTATTTTCGTGCTTTTGATCGCTTAGATATTGGCGACGGAAGAAAAGATTGGCTCCATTTGCACACAGTTTTCCGAAATCAAGTACCTAGCTTCGTGCGCTATGCTCTCGTACATTCGATCGATCGTGCTGTTGATAAAGACGGCCCATAAGGTCGACTTTTCTCAGCGCATCGGCGTCATGCTTGAAGAGTTGAATATTTTAAAGCTTTCCCAGTCTTGGGGGCTTTCTGATATCCCAATCCCTGTAAAGCAGTTTATTTCCACTCTAAAGTCACGATTCCTTAGCAGAAATCAAGAAAAGCATTTCGATCACCAGACCCTGGACGAAAGCGAGGATGAGCAGCTTCTTGTTCCAAAGGGACCTGCAGCATCCGGCAGGGGCTCTCCTAGCCGCGACACAAAGGAAGAAGCACTCATTGTAGCTGCTAAGCATCATTCGAAGAAAAAGAGATCATCCATCAATGAGCTTGGACATTCATCCCAAAGCCCAAGCACCAGGATCCTCTTTGATGAGGATGGAAACGCCAAAAACCCATACAAGTTCATCCTAGAAACATCGATTGACACGTCTGCCAATAGGGTTGGGGAGTACTTTGAAAAGCGATCTAAAGAACTTCACCAGGCCGATGATCGAGATCGTGCCTTTGAAAAGGAAAAGAGAAGGGAGAAAAAGAGGAAGCTCAAGTCTGTAAATGGTGCTCAGAGTCCAACCGCGACTACGCTTTCGATAAGTTCCGAAGATTTGGAGTCTCTTGCTCTGTCTGCTCTTAAGTAAGCATCATCGATATAATAAATTAATTTATTTGTAAACAAGAGGCGGCTATGAAAATTAAATTATTTGCAAACAAGAGGCGGCTATGAAAATTTTCAACCTGCCCATTACAAAAGTCAGCCATTGGCGAGTTCCCGCCAAGTTCAAATGGGGACAAAATTTTATTTGACGCTCAATTTGCCTCACGAGCCATCATCATCGCGAGAATCGTTTCGGCTTCTCGTACCTGGCTTATGTTAAAGCGATGCATTCGCAGCCAAGAGTTGGGGATCGGTTCTGGAAGCCGCTGGATGTGGATCGCATCCGCTAAATGTCTTTTACTTGCAAGAGAGGCGGCAACCGCCTTTCTTGGCGGCGCATATTTGTAGCAAAATGGAGGTGCGCTATAATCCATTGTCTCGTGGACGGATTCCTCAAAGGGTCGAAGCCTGTCGGAAAGAGAGACATCCGTTTGTGTAAGCGGGTTTTCTCCATTGTAATCGGTGAGCGAAGAAAACCTTCCCTTTTGCGCTATGGAAAGATCCTGGTGGTCAGCCCAAAGTTTGTCAATAAACGTGTGATGTAGCCAAAATATGGGGTCGTTCGGCGATGACATGAACGACATGTCCCCTTCAGAGCCACCAATGGCCACGTGAACAATATTGTGGGGTGCCAGCTCAATCAAAGCCCGGAAACGGTCATATGTCAGTGACATGTCTTCAACTACAGCCTTCAATGTTTTTGCAGAGTAAAACGGAGCAGCACCGGCCTGGTCATTTTGGGGAGAAAATATTCGTCTCCGCTTCAAGCAATGAGGACGAGGCGATTTTAAAACGGGAAAATTAATACAATCGCCACTTTCGGAATAGACAGTTCCTAAATAGGGCAGCGACCAAATCGGGGAGGATGCTGGATTCGGTGCATCCAAGGACCAATCCCAGTAAGGGATCGTGACATAAGGATCGATTAACCGAAGTGCGAGTTCAAACTTGTGCAAAAACAGCCGATGCCAGGGGAGAAATTGAGGCGTACCATGTGCGTGCGGAACAGAAGCCAAATGGAGATGGGTCCAGAAAGTAATTGAAGTTGGCGGCGGAAGCGCATCTTCGCCAGTATTCGCTTGGGGGGTGGTGGATCCATCCATCATTTTCAAAAGGGCCCGCTTGAAGCGAGACCATTCTGCCGGCGACATGTCTCGAAATTCTTTGCGAAGGAAAATGCGAGGGCAAACTGCATGCCCCCTTTCGCTATTCATCGAATTGGTGAGGGAAGTGAGCTGGTCGAGCTCAGCTACAAGGCCAGAAAATTGAGTGGCATTGTATTTCATCGAATGGTCACAAGGATCTTCCATAAATTCGGTCGGAGGAGCATCTGTGAAATTGACCGGGCTTGAGGAGATGCGAAAAAAAAGATTCGCAAATCCAAAGGCAGCCAAAACAAAAGGCAAAAGCAGTTTCATTTCCTGACATGCACGACGAAGAGGATTCTTAAATATCAATATGCTGATTTATTGCGTGTCTAATTAAATTGCCCCGTTTACTGCAAGCTATCAGCAGCCAATCAGCCAGGAAAAATATATCACAGCCAGACATAGTCAAGTGATACTTTTAAAAGGGCGTCCTTGATATAGAATCGAAGGGCCATGTCTTGAGCCATCAGAATGGGCCTTGGCAATATGCCCAAGGTGCAATACGATATCATAAGCTAGGCATATTTTTTGGCTCGCAGGACCCCATCTGAGATTCCCAGATGATGATCGAAAATGACCCAACCGGTATTTAATGCCGCATCATAAGTCCTATGCAGTGATGGCTCTTTTTTTATTCTTAAAAAGTGCATCCAACCAATGGAAAAGGGTGGTAAAATTAATGTTATGTTGATGTGCATTTTTTAATTAAAAACCGCACTGTTGCACTTTCGGTGTTCTTTTTTCAATCATTGCCGCTGTTCCAATCAACAACTTTCTGCACAATTTTTGTAGCGTACTTGACGCCACTGTTCAAGCATTAAATACTATTGAAGCCTTACCTTCACTCGAGCATTCGAATTTAGGGCCTCAGCCTCTTTGATATGTGATTAAAGCAATATTTTCTTGGGAAATAATGTCCAGTCTGGAGCAACAGTTTCTTTCAAAGACAAGCGTCTCATTGAAAGTTTTTCCAATTGTAACAGCGACAATCCATTTTTATGTGCGCCGTGCTCTCAAATTTTGTAAACATGCAAAGCCAGCACCAACATACTGTTTGGTTACGTCCCCAATATTATCTCCAGCAATTTTGTTCACAATTCCAAGATTTTTTTCTTTTCAGCATCTGTCTGGTTATAATACATCAGCATTCTGCTTCTCAAATTCAATATAACCATTTAATCCAATGATCCAGCTCTAGCCCTTGGGGGCTTCCAACCCAGCAATATGAAACGCGCCATTCTGACCTCAAAAAGCGCATATATAATTTCAGCGCTCATCATCTTAGTTGTAAATCTGATCCGGCAGATTTACAGCAAAAGCTCGAGTTTTTACACCCCCGTATGGTGCTCGCATGTCCAACTTTATCCAACCTTTCCTTGGTGTTTTATGTCGTCTCAATTCGATCGATGCCTTGGAAATTCTTTTTTCTCTAACATCTGTTTTCGCTTTTGATTTACTCTACTTTGCCGCCGAGCTTTGCAATCGCAAAAATCCTAAATATAGCGCCGATGGATTCAAAAGGCATATCTTTGTGAAAGATGCACCAACCCGGAAACTCCATTTGCAAGCGCCGAAACCCCTTTTTGTTTTCTTCTCAACATTTGATAGCTGTTGACGATGCAATAAATTTGCCCCCTTATAAGGGTTTCATCAATGAACCAGATGTGTTGGAAAAAATCAAGGATCTGGCTAGCCTTGATGCGGTGGCGGCAAAGGTCTAGTATCACCATGTCATTTGAAATTGAGAACTTCAAGGTCGATTACTCTATGCCTATCCCGACTTTTCAGCAAAGCAGCGCTGGCATTGGTGTGACATTTGGCTGAAAAAAGCACACCCCGCTATGAAATACTTGGGGTGGAGTCTTTACCCGTGCTGTGGTTTATGATATCCGGGTTGACTTTTGCGCCGATGGGGTTTATTTTTTGTTTTTGTAGGGCTATGATTCGCACCAAAGCCACACGATAAAGTGCCATGTTGCGTGGAGGTTTCATGTAGTCATTGAAATCGGTCTCCGCTCAAGTATGGGCGAAAATGTTTGCGAGCTTACTGGAGAGCATTAGTTTAAAACCGCACATGGGCTGGGGTGACACAATCACAGGTGATTTGGTCGTTTATTAGCCGTTTACGGCTTTTTACCGAACTTTGAGTATGCCCTGAATGCGACAAAAAGAACAGTGGCCGCCACGAAAACACTGCCGGCGCCAACTACCCAGCGTCCAAGAGAAGGCGAGTAGTGGTGGGTCATTGACAGGCTCCTAAGCGTTAAACGATGAACGGATCGCGCGCTTACGGATCGAAAATGACTCGCATCATGAGATGCCAAAATTCTTGCAGCTTTTCATCGTCTATCTTCATGCTGAAGGAAAAGATCTGCATCCATTTTTTGGAGCGGGCAAATTCGTCAGGTTGCACCGGATATTTCTAGAGTATTAGGGGCTGCGAAAAACCTGTTTTTGAAATGCCAGATCGCTCTTATTGGCAATGATGACCACAGGGATTTCGTCGATGGTGATGGAGGATGAATAGGCAGAGGACGAAAGACGGCCCTTGATGGGGATTCCAGATCGCGAGCATGCCCGAAATAGGTTTGCCAGCTGCGCAAAGGAAAGTGCATCGGACGAATCGTAAATACCGATGATTGCATCGCAGTTTTGCAAGTAGGAGCGATCCATCAGAATGCGCTGTGTGTCCTCCCACGGCATTTCCTCGAGCACAAAGTTTCGCACCTCTGGGCCATACTCAACCGTGTTCACGGCTTCAAACGTGGCCCACGGACCGAGGCCAAATTGGATTTCCGGACAAAGCTCGCCCTCCACAATCTGTCGATCGACAAATCTACGCAGCAGCGATGTCTGGAAATAAAAAAGCGGTAAGCAACTCCACCTTTCCACAGCCACGAGGCCCAACGACAGCAATTCGGTACACTCTTCGGTGTGACTGCCATTGATTGCTCTGGTTGCGCGACGGCCTTTCCCTGGGCTTTGTGACTTTTATGGCGGCTCTGACGGAGCCCTCCGACCAGCCCAGATAGGCCAAAACCTCCATTGTATGCCGCGGGTCCAACATGGCCATCATTCTAAAATAAAAACGCACACGTACGACCACTGCGTCAAATATCCGTGGAGTGCCAGTTCGCCCTTTTCATTTATGCTTGTGCCGTGAGGAAATCCAGTGCCGATCCACGGATTTCCATTTGGAACGAGAGAAAACAAAGACTCCAAGTCATTCCAGGTGATGGAGCCGTCATTGTTGCGTGAATGGCGATTGAACAGCGACAAGATAAAATGATACCCAGCCGGGGTGAGCTCACAGGACGAGCCTTCTGGAATATCGCCAAGGCTAAAACAAAAGGGGAAATGCACGCCCCACCTTGGATGCAGATATTCCTCCCTAAGCACGGGCAGTGTGGTGGAGTAGCCGTATTTGCGAAGAATTGTCCACACGGTTTCCAGACGGCCCTGGATGATGAATACCCGCTGCAGGGCAAGGAAGCCTATCTTTGTTAGCGACGGGCGCTTGACAACCTTGAAGCGAAATGCCGCCAGAGGCATCGATAAGTCCGCGAGGATCATCTTGAGACCGAAGCGTAGCCTTCAGCTCTTCAATTTCTTGGGAATGGAGCGGCACGCCAAAACAGCACATCTAGGAAAGACATTGCACAGGCAGCGTACTTGGAATTGATAGAGCTCGTTATCATCCAAAGAGTCGTCGTTGTTGTGGTCCAGGATTTGAAAGATGCGGCAGAAAGCGGTGACGGCCTCTGTCCGCAGCTTCTAAAGAAAGCCTGCATCAGCATACCTCGGATTTGTAATCCATCAAGGCAAGCCTGGGATAGAGAACAGCTCGTACGGCAAAAGAGAAAAGCTCGGTCACATTCATCAGCGTGCGTGCAGAGGATTCCACGATGCTCTCAATCGTTGGCTGGAAATCTGCAATCAAAGAAACCAGACGTTCATCCAGTGCGGATTTGGAGTGGGCTATCGCGTCGGCCTTGTTCGAGGCAATAACAACGGGGATCTCAGCACATAAAGGGAATCAGCAAACCTGCCCATTTGTGCGGCCAATAAGAGGCATCCAATATTCTCGCACGCGCGAAACGGAATCTTCCAACGAAGGCGACAGGCAATCAAGCACAAGGATAGCCACATTTGACCTCCGGATTTCGTTCTCGATCATGGCGCTAGAAAACCCTTTGAATAAATCTCCATTGCGTACCAGAGGTGTCAATGATGGTCAAAGAGACGCTGTCTGCAAGAGAATCGTATGGAATTTCGATCTCGGGATACCTTTCAGGCACCTAGGAGTGTAAAGAGATCGACTTTGCACCTCTGCCTCGTAGTATCTGTTTTCCAGCATCGAGTATATGAGCGAAGATTTCCCGACATCGGCTACAATAAAAACCGCGGTGTACCGTCTCCAAGCACCGCAATCCGTATGTGTGAACTATAGTCTTTACATGCAGCGAGGTCAGCTGGCGGCCTCGGTGCAAACGAGGATCTCATGGGCGAGGAGCTCTTTCGAATTGTAATTTCATCCATGGACGAGGAGCTTGAGGCTATCTCCACACATGGGACCCTTGCGTTTGGGGAGGCTGCGAGGCGGCCATCCAAGGCGGCAATGGAAGAGCCGCTCGCAAGCGACGAAATTGCAGCACCATGCCCGGTTTGCGACTGCATTGTCAAAGTTAACGAAAAATTGAAGAAAATTTAAAATGTGTCAACGTGGCTCAAGTTGTGCTCTGTTTAATTAGGAAATGATCATGTTGGTGGGGAACTCAAAGACGATGGCTTTTCCTGTCAGGCGGCCATAGACGGAGGCCATGGTCTCAATCTTTGCCTCTACTGCATGTCGGTCTTTTGGATCAAGCAGCACTTTCATGACGCGCGAGCCGTCACGGTTGAAGCGGGTGCGCTTGCCTACAATCTCAAAGGGCGAGACAAGATCGTCGAGGATCTTTTCATGGACAGACGTCAGCGTTCGAGAATAAAGGCGGTTCTGCTTTGCAAGAGGAGCCGTGCGCTTGGCCTTGGTCTCGATCTTTCTGCGTCCAACAAACATGATGTGCTTGTCGGAAAACTTTTTCTCGAGCTCGGTGACAACCTTGCTTGAAATGCGACGGAACGCAGCAAGCTGCGACACCGGCACGTACACAACAAGCGCACGACGGCCAGAGGTGGCGGTGCAGTCGACCTCGTTGACCGAATAGAAGCGGAACGAACGAAGCTCTGCACGGAGATCGGCATTGTGCGACTCGAGGTCAACAAAACACTCTGCAAGCTTCATCTCCACGGGAGACACGACTGCCGACGTGGGCTTCATGATTTTCGTGCGGGCAAGATCAGCGAGTTTGGACGACATTTTAGCGAAAAACAAAAAATTGCAAATAGCAGCTGCAGGGGTGTTGTAAGTTTAATTTTAGCCCTGCCTTTAATTTTAAATTCAAGCCGATAATTTGAATTACAGACCACCCACCATGCAGGCTACGCACTCCTCCTCCTCTTCGAACGCTTCCATAGCGGTGAGGATTTCCGAGCTCACGGACGATACGATCAAATTTTCGCTTGTCAATTCATCGCTCAGGTATTGTGGATTTGTTGTGATTTTCAGCTTTGCCAATGCGCTTCGTCGTGTTCTTCTGGCGGAGGTGCCGACAATTGCAATCGATACGGTGCTGTATGAGTCCAACACCAGTGTTTTGAATGACGAGTTCTTGGCCCACAGGTTGGGGCTGATCCCGCTCACTTCGCACACACACGAAAAGTTCAAGTTTCCACGCGACTGCCAGTGTCCCGGGAGCTGTGTCGAGTGTTGTGTCGAACTGACGCTCAATGTGCGCTGTTCCGAAGATGCAGACAGACGGGATGTCACGTCTCGCGATTTGATCTCCCAAAACCCAGACGTCGTTCCGATCGGGGGATTCGGAGACCGGACCTCCGGACCAATCACGATAGCCACACTTGCCCGGGGCCAAGAGATCAGCCTTCGCGCCTTTGCCAGAAAGGTTGCAAGCTTATTCGGGCTTACCGATAGGGTGTTGGAAAGGAGCATTCGAAATGGTCGCCTGTTTCTGCGGTCGGATTCGAATATGACCCCGACAACCAGCTGAAGCATGCCACCCTGTGGATTGAAGAGGATGCCGAGAGCGAATGGTATGCAAAACTGGCTTTTGTATAGGCCCAAAAGCCCAAATTCCGATCCAAAGAAAAAATATCCAAGGCCAGAAGATGCGCTTGCGCTCGACCGCCTTGAGCCGGAAAGGTTTTATTTTTCAGTCGAAACCGTCGGCTCGCTCCAGCCCGAGGAGGTCATCCGCAGCGCCATAAAAACCATTGTGTTGAAATCGATTTCCGTGCTGCTGCAGCTTGGCGTTTTCCCGATGTCTACACTTTTGGACGGCTCTTAATATTTAATATTCGTGATGGAAATAAAATTTTGTAGATTTGATTTTATCGCCCAATGCTATCGAAGCGAATTCTCAAGGTCAGGGTTTGCGTTTCATTGTGCAGGAGTGTGAGCGGCTGCAATCCGACCCTGTGCCCGGCATATCAGCTATTCCGCATGAAAACAATGTGCGGCAATTTGACGTGATCATCGATGGACCCCTTCAAAGCCCATATGAAAGTTGTTCCTTTGCCCTTTCTCAAATAGATGGCGCGTTTTCATTGGAGATGTATCTTCCCGAAGAGTATCCAATGTCGCCGCCCAAGGTCCGGTTTTTGACCCGGGTGTACCACCCGAACATCGACCGGCTTGGCCGCATCTGTCTTGACATTCTGAAAGGTACGCGACCGCCCCAATTACAGCGTCTATTTTTAGACAAATGGAGCCCTGCCTTGCAAATTAGAACAGTTTTGCTATCAATCCAGGCGCTTTTGGCCTCGCCAAATCCGGACGACCCGCTCGCCAACGACGTCGCTGCTGCATGGAAGGCAAACGAGGAGACGGCCATTGGGACAGGTTAGTGTTTGCGGATGCGATTTTACCTTGCTAGCCAAAGAATGGACCAGGCTCTATGCAAATAAATGTTAGTAACCCGTGTACATCTTGACGGCGCGACACGTTACCAAAGGCATCAACTTTTGGCTCTGAGTGTGTAAAAAATTTAAATAGCCCAGAAAAGGATGACGCTGGGTGGTGGGTGAAGCCCCCTGCTTTGGATGTCCCAATCTGAAGCGATAATTTATGTAAATAAAGAGTGGTTCAGCTCTTGTCGATGTGTTGGTTTGCGTTGATGTGCCGGTCCGTGTTCATGTGTCAGCTCCTATTTATGTGTCAGCTCCTATTCACGTGTCAGCTCCTATTCATGTAAGCCTCAATGGCAACCGAAAAGGCGGCAAATCCGGCACAGCCGAGTAGGGCAGACTTTGGACCGCCTATGGTAAAAAGGCTGGTGAACCGTACTTTTTGCCCCAAGAATACCGCCCGAAATGCACCCGGCGTAAGCAACGTTGTAAATGTCGTGCTTTGCTCTGTACTACTCAAGCTTAGTGATGGTATCAAATACTCCTTCAATGATGCATTCGGTCGTCGAAAAAATAACAGCTACTTTGCCCAAATTCTTTGCAGACGACCATGTTTTGGAGGACATTTCTTGTAGCACAGATCGAACGGTCACCGGTGCTGTTGCACCTGTGGCGTCGAGCGGGGGAGAGCCCATGCCCGACATGAATAGACCCAATATTCCGCCAAAGCCAAATCCGATGATTCCATTTCTAGCCGCAACAAAAGGACACGACTCTTGAACAGCCTCAATGGTTGCAGGTGTAAAAATGGATCCAAGCTTTTGGTCTATTCTGCTTAGTAGTGAAGAATCCTCTAATAATCTGTCATCGTCAATTGATGAGCTAGACCGGTCCCCTTGGGACGGTGCAGCAGCATATCCAGGGACAACCAGACTCCAGTCGAACATGTTTTTAAAAAATTTATTACCGGCCACAAATAAGTGCATGCCTCCCGCTCCGCTCCGCTTCCCTCTCGCTGTTTTGACCGAATTTCGAAGGTTTTATTGTTGATAGGTTCGGACCTCAACTGATCTCCTTCTCAATGACAGTCAACAGTCCAGACTTTTTCAGGTTTCTAATTTTGTCTTTGAGATCAACGGGAGACCTCCCGCTGAACGGATAAGAGTCCAAGATGAGGGTCCATCTGGGGCCAAATCGCTTATAGCCTTCCACAAGGGAGGATATCTCTTGCTCCGAAAAAAAGCGCCTCTTTCTGGAACTAAATACAGGCTCAACGGTTCTTTTTGACGGAGATTTAACGGAGGCTGATGCCAGCTGAAGGTTTAATTCGGCACTTGATCGTGTGCTTGGCCCAGCATGCTCCTCCAGATGAGCAGCCACAAGCGGAACGTCCTCTTCCCCGCCAATTTTGATTTCTTCGGTCTGAGGAATGTTTATTTCGCCGGCTCCTGATGGGGTTCCCCCTTCCTCGTCGTCATTCCAAGAACATTTGACCGCGGTTTCGTTGCGCTCTAATAGGGATTTTTGCGGTCTAACGTCCTCTGAATAGTTTGGCAAGTCCGTGCAAAGCACGGTTTGCTTGGAGATGTCTGTGGCGAGGTCTTGAGTTTGGGTATTCAAGTAAAGAATGTCCGAGTTATTGGCGTAGGAATCAAAAAAGCTCACAATTTCTGCATGTTCCCCGGAGATGATACTATTGAAACATTCGACTCCTCCAGCCTGCTCGTGCAGCCAGTTCAAAGGAACACACGACGAGTCGTGCAGTGGGGCATGTAAAACGGAATCGGCACCGGAATCTTTGAGCTCATTGAGTGTTGATTTGTGGACCTCAACGTACTTTTCAATCTCACGTATTGCTTCTTTTGGCGGATGTTCAACCCCACCAATGAGAGATACACAAAACAGTGCCAGAGATTTTTCAAAGTCATCGACAGAATATTTACTTCTGAGGGATGAAATGATTGCTGCGTGAGCAGACCGATCGGCGGAGCCAAGTTGTTTAACGATATGGTGCATCTACGAATAAGAAAGGCGAAAACACCTCCTTTTGCCGACGAGAAACGCTCTTCTCAAAGGTGGACCATTCATCCACTGATCTCCACAAGAATTGGTGATCTTGGAGCAGCGAGGTCTTTAAATGCTGATCGAGGGCCACGGAAAGTGCGGATGGACCCACATCCAATTGTAGCAAAACCAACTGCATGGCAAATTCAAGCACAAGCAAAGAATATGGTACACGCACCGAGGAGGAAAGATCTCGCTCATCTGCAAAAAGCCCAAGAAAAATCGAGAACGCAGTGGGGTAGGTTATGGCTCTTCTAGCACCGMAGCACGCAAGAGGCGCTGCGAGCTTGATGGCAGAATCGCCATCAGGTGTCTGGGGAATAGTGCACGCGCTCCACAAAGCGCGTTCCTTTTTGCAATGTGGGCATTCTGCAAGCCATAAAAGCTCAAGGAAGACCAGCAGCGACTTTGAGATGTGCGAGCACGAGGAGCAGCCGGGTTCTTTTCCACTGCCACGTTCCAACGCTACGAAAAGTTATCTCAAACAAACCTGTGTAAATGGGCCACAAGCTTTGGTAGCGAAGGGAGATGGCGGCCGCATTCGTCTGTCTGCTTTTGTCAATGCGTGCATGTACGATGCATTTTGCGAGCTGCAAAAGCGAGCTAATAAGAAGATCCGTAACTTGGCCTCTGAGTGGTGTAAAGCAATCAATGCACATCAGCGCTGCATTGCTGCAGTCATGCTTGTCCGTAGGGTTGGACATTTGTCGAAACAATGCTGTTAAAAGTCAGGTGCGTTAAAGTTTATTTTCCAAATTGTGGCAGCCGCCCGTTAATTTATTATTAGCCCACACGTGGCATGCATCACCAGTGCCGACCCGGTATTGTGCAGCCAATTTACGTGGGATGGGTCCTCTTCTCAAAAGAGAGAAGGGTGATCGTTTTGCGTAGAATCCATCTCCACCGCTCGGCCAGTAGATTTCGATGCGCAAGGGCATCTTCTATTCGTTGTCTGGCTAGATTGTCTCGTAGGACGTGAAAAACGGCTATCAAATCCTTTTTGAAGATCACCACTCCTTTGATTGCAGCTCGTATGGAATTTCCGCCTTTGAAAACAAAGCCAACCTACGAAAAAGACTCTTTCCATACCACAGCATCTGCGACCTCAATGCCGGCTCTTCGAATGGCCGTTCCAGCAGCAATCGGCAGTGCCTTCAAATGCACGCACCCGTGGGGAATCATCCACGGCGTAAAAAGATAAATGTTCCCGTGTGCGTTTCTCGGAATTTTGCCCTGCTAGTTAATACCAATTGAGCGGATCAAAGTTGGCGACATGTATGTAGTTAGCAGACGGCCTACCTCTTCTGTAATCGATGGCGCTGAGATTCTTGTGACATCCCAAGGCCCGTATATGCCATTCTTGCCGCTGCCTTCGCCAATGATCTCCATGCCCTGCTGGTGCCAAGCCTCTTTGGATCGGCCCTATTTGCTTGGTAAAGTTCGCTTACTCTGAAAACATCGGCTCGAAGATAAATGTCTTCGTTTTGGACGGGTTCAGCATTGAGGGCAAGAAGCTCGTATTTTCCGAGTGACGATTTTGCTGCAAAGATGTGCTGAAAGGCCTTCAAAGGCCTTTTGGTGGCCGAAAAAGACCCCAGGGCATCGTGGATCCACGACTGACGCTCTTCAGGCTCCCCGGGCCCCATTCTTTGGGAAAGAAAGCCCTGTATTGCCTTGATGGCAGATGCGCGACGAGAAGCCAACGTGAGCGTGATTCGCTGGTCCATAGGTATTGAGTACCTGCAGGAAATAAAAAGAGTTGCAAATGCCTTAATGTGATGTCTTGCGTTAGGATTGTCTTTTTTCCGCTCGCATTTGGGCTTCCGGAACTTCTCTCCGCAGAAACCACAATCATTGGAATCCAGTCTTCAAGATCCATGATGATGCCGGCTGGATCATCGATGATGGGCTTATTTCCGCTTGAAGTTGGTGAAGATCTAACGCCTACAATTAGACGGCCACGCTTTACAAATCCAGCGGCACTCCTTTGGATCATAAATCTCATTCCACAACTGCCGCTCCCAGCATGTCTTGGAGGGGTTCCCGGCAAGCGAGCCAATGCCCGCGGCAATCCGGCATCGGATGCCAAGATGGTGGCAGAGCCATTCCAATTGGCGACATGCCCAGTTGTTTTCATTGCCATCTTCAATAGCCGAAAGGGATACAAGATCCTTAATTCTAGACTTTGATGACGAGGATGATGAGACGGATGCAGCGGCCGGCAATTTCGAGATAAACATTGCCTGCAATGAAAGTTTTATTTTACCTCGGCAATGTCACATTGATGAAAGAGCTTCCTTAAAAGATGCACGGTGCATAAAATCTCCGCTTTGAAAATCAAAGCAAGAAGGGTTGCTGAGTGACCCGCCTTTGCTCTTTTCTTCGCGCCAATAGATGTGTCGCCATCTTGATTTGGAATTTCATCTTCTTGATGAGTCTGTTGGACAAGTTCCCATTGCTCATCCTCCTCCATGGGATAAATTGAAAAGTTAAAAATTATTGCCAATTCCAAGGCTTTGCCGAGATACACTTGAAACTCGTTCAGTGCGCGATCCACACGCCTGCAAAGGGTCTTTCTGATTCAAACGAGGCTCTTTGTTTGGATCGATAGCGATGTGTCGCAAGGCCATAAGTTTATTCGATTAAAGCCAAGTTTTTCAAAGAAACAGGGACTTATTCGCGCCTTCGTAGCTACCATTTAAGGGAGTTTCCTTTCCTCCCAACATCCCCGGCAACTCTTGTGTAAGTCGATGTGTTTTTTTTGATAATTAGTTTGGCACTGTGTAACGGGGAAACCCCAAGGCAAGGTGATATTGACAGTTGAGAACCCTCGTTATTGGTTCTATTAAGGGGCCATGCTGATCCAAAGTTTCGCTTAAAATGGGGCAGTTCGCTTTAGAGCGTTAAAAAGCCAATGCAAAACCTGTAGGATTTTTTGCTTTACCATCTCCCAGAAGCCCCGCATCTTAAGAATAGGTTAGAAAAAAAACAAATTGTGCCGCATTTCTTTTATAAGCAACATGTCTTTCTTGGGTATAGATCCAGAATTCACCACCACACAGCGGTGAAGATTAAAAAACATTGGTGCTGGAAAGAGAGGCAAATAAGGGATTTGCTAGCTCGAAACTTTCTCCAGCAATTTTTTGCAAAATTCGCCATTCAATATGGCCAATTTTTTCGGGATTCGGTAAGTTCACTTTGGATGAGCACGATCAATTTTCTGGCAGGCCGATAACCTCAAATTCACCTTTCGAATAAATTGGGATCAATGGCGAGGATAGGAATTCGGATTTTGACTTGCATGCTTAAAGACCCGCCATTGATCCGCCGCTTATCGCTTTGTCGTAATTTTACCAAAACTGGCCAATTGCTGCCGCGTTTTAATTGAAGTTGCTGCCGCGTTTTAATTAAAGTTACGGCCAGGATCCGGATCCGGATTTGGTTATAAATTTTCTTATTTAATTTGATTAATAAAACACATGTCACGAACCCCAACGCCCGCCAGATAGCAACGATTTGACAAAACGGATAGAGCTTGAAGACGTAGAAAAAGTCTCGGAGGAGGAGAACCGGATGCTCTTTTTGAGCTCGGCTCTCCGTCTTTTCGCCTTACGGTGGCCCTGCAGCGCCGCTCGACTGTACCAATGTAGCGCCTCTTGTAGAGCTGGTGCATCAAGACCAACGCCCAGCTCACAGTACCGACCGAGGGCATATTCGGCCCTGGGATCCCGACGCTCAGCAGCACGTTTTGCCCAAGCATAGGCGTCTTTGTCCGACTGCGGCAGGATCACCCCATCTCCCTCGACGTCACTGCCACTGGCTTCTTTAGCGCCTGTAAGGTACCAGCCTGAGAGCGCCAGTTCAGCAGCGGGATCTCCCAGCTCGGCCGCTTTGCGATACCATTCAATAGACTTCCTAGGATCAAGCGGACATCCAAGGCGTCCGTATTCAAAACATGTTCCCAGCTTTACCATTGAGGGCGCATATCGCATTGCAGAGGCCTTTTTAAATAGCTCGAGAGCATAGGAATCGTCGGGGATAGCGATGCTGTTGCCATTTCCGTGCTCAAACATTAGCGCCAGGTCGTGGATGGCTCCCGGAATAGATCCTATTGAGGCTGCCCTCTTGAGCCACGTGAAGGCTTCCTTTGGCGCCTGAGCCATTCCAAGCTGTCCATGCTGTAAAATAATGGCGAGGCGGTGCATGGCCCGCCCATGGCCAAGTGTGGCTGCCTTGCGATAAAAGGTGACTGCACGGGCGGCGTCTTTCCGAACACCCATGCCCCGCTCGTAAGAGAGTGCAGTCCAAAAGATGGCTTCAGAAAGCCCATGTTTAGATGCCTGCAGCGAAAGAGAAAAGGCACGGTCCATGTTTGTCTTGATGCACAGGCGCTGGTCGCCATGGCCTCTTAGCAGCTGCGCCAAGAAGCATTGGGCCTCTGGAAGCGGATGCCTGCCATTTCCACTTGATGCCAGCCGTTTGAGCATGTGCATGCCTTCAGCCCTGAGTACCTCAGCAGAAGCTGTCAGGTCTATTCGCAACAAGTCACTACCTGGAGGCGTCGATACAGGGCGCCCTTCGCCCTCCGAGTTTCCAAAGTTGATGGCGCTATTTCGAACGTTAGGTTGGGTGTCAACCTGGGCGCCACACGGTTCTTGGACATCAGAATTTTGGTCATGATCTTCATCATCATCAATGGGCATTGCTACAAGGGCGCCAGTACATTCTGCAGCCATCGCTGCCAAGTGAATGATACCCTTGACGATGGCCAGCTGTGCATGCGGATCGATTCCTCCCTTTTTTTTTCTGGCTGTTGCCATCTTTTCACGGATAGCTTTGAGTGCTTCGTCGAACGAGAGCGGCACTGTTGTTCCAGGGGTCTGTGGAACCATCTCACTAGAGCCGAAAAGTGGTAGCTGTCCAAGTAGCGGGTTCATTAGCTGTTCTGGTGAACTTGACCCGGATGAGCAGAGCGAGGCCCCCGCGGAACGGGGGCAGGGTATCAGCGTTGTCATCGAGTTGGAAGATCCTGGCAACGACTGGGACTGGCTCCACCAGTTTTTTCTCCTAGATCCGACAGAAGAAGAAGGGCTTATCAGGCTCCCCTCTGTCGATTCAGAAGTCATCGATGCAATGGAGGAAGCGGCGCTGGTGCCAGATCCAATGTCGCTCCGGAGCAACGACATCAGTTTTTGCACTAGAATGGCCTCAGACGCCTGCTGTGCATCGTTTTTAGTAGGTGTGTCTCTTGTATTGCAGCCGAATGGCAACTCTGGGGCGGATGAACCGGGCCCTTTTTTTGCAGAGCCATTTTTTGCAAATGATGAGTCTTTCCGAAGTGGTGGGATGGGGTCTTTTTCGATTGATGGGCCCTTGAAGTCCCTTTTCGTATTTTCCTTCACCAAAGACCTAGTGTGTTTAGGAACTGTGGTGCTTCGTTTCTTTTCTTTCGCTGTGGGAGAGATTGTCATCTATCCTATATCCTGCTCGGTCCTATTTATGAGCAATGGGTATATTTATCAATAAATTAATTGATAAATGGCTCGAAGGAAAAGAAAAAAGGCAAGCTCAGATTCCCACGAAAACGCTCTGGATTTCAGATATTCTTCAGAACCATTGGTCCATTTCGCCACCGTTCATGTGGCCAATGGGAGCAAAAGGGGCTACTGGAATAAGAATTAAATTTGGCACGTAATTTATAATTTGATTTGAAAATAAATTTTTGCAATTCCATATGGCGACTACCCTATCTTCGCTCTCCCCTCCAGCTGCGTTGCCAGTGCTGCCCACACAGCCAGCGCTTTGCGACCTGACCCGAGTAGAACGAATCGGTAAGTGTCGTCTCCTTTTATACTTTTGTCTGTAAATTGTCACGTCAATTTGGTGCATGTGTTTGTGTCCTCGCCTCCACCAATGCATTTATATTTCCTCTCATTGCGCTGTGAACACATATTTTATCGACTCACAACTCAGGCGCCCATTCACATATCCGCGGACTTGGCATCGATGAGCGTACCTTAGAGGCCCTGCCGGCCTCAGCCTCGGAGGGCATGGTTGGCCAGGCCTCGGCCCGCAAGGCTGCCGGGATGATCCTTCGGCTCATCAAGGAAGGTAGAACGGCTGGGCGGGCCGTGCTAATTACCGGTGAGCCGGGCACAGGAAAGACTGCGCTTGCTTTGGGATTGGCTCAGAGTCTTGGTCCAGAGCGTGCCACACCATTCACACCGCTCTCTGCATCGGAGCTCCTCTTTTCGTTGGAAATTAGCAAAACAGAGGCTTTGACACAGGCATTCAGGCGCTCCATCGGCATCCAGATCAAGGAGCTCAATCAGATTGTCGAGGGCGAAGTTGTAGAGGTTATCATTGATGAGCCTATTGGTGGAGCGGCACCTACAGGCCGTGTGACCCTTAAGACCACTGACATGGAGGCCGTCTTTGACCTTGGCGCTAAAATGGTTGCGTCCATGATGGGTGGTTCCGGGTCACGCATCACCGCTGGGGACATTGTCTCCATCGACAAAGCAAATGGCAGGCTGACGCGGCTTGGGCGCTCGTATGCTCGAGCTCGTGATTTTGATGCTTGTGGCAATCCTGCAGCCACAAAGTGGCTGCCCACTCCAGAGGGAGAGCTCATACAGGAACGGTTGGTAACTCACCTCGTCACGCTGCATGACATTGATGTCGTCAACAGTCGCGCAGGCGGTTATCTTGCTCTTTTTTCAGGCGAGACCGGTGAAATTAAGCCAGAAACGCGCGCAGCAATTGACGAACGTGTTGCCGTGTGGCGCGACGAGGCCAAGGCTGAAATCATTCCCGGGGTGCTGTTTATTGATGAGATCCACCTTCTGGATGCCGAATGCTTTTCCTTCCTCAATCGAGCACTAGAATCTTCGATGGCACCAGTACTTGTGATGGCGACTAACAGGGGTATCACCGCCATCCGGGGCTCCGAGGGCCGTTCTTCGCTTCACGGCATGCCCTCAGACCTGCTTGATCGTCTCCTCATCATCACTACGAACTCGTATTCCAAAGACGAGCTTTCACATATTCTCCAGCTACGGGCTCAGGAGGAAGACGTCCGCTTGGGATCAGATGCTTTGAACGCACTTGCGGAAATAGCCGTAAAAAGCTCCCTCCGCTATGCCACGCAATTGATTGCACTGAGCCAGGCCATTGCCCGAGGCGCGCTGGAGCGAGCTCCGCATTCTTCCAAGAAGGCACAACAACACGAGGATGTAAGCTGTTGAATTCTTTTCTTTTATAATAGAAGCCTGCGGTGACGACCCAGCACATTGAAACGGCATTTTCCCTCTTTTTAGATGAGAAGCGCTCCGTTGAATACTGCAAGGATATCCCTATGGTTCTTTAGTTCGTGTGCCCATACTCAAATAAACAGCATTTAATTAATAAACAGCAGCAAAAGGACCGCATTGGAACATACACCACACACGCATCGGTTAACCAAATAAAAGTAATTCCAACAGACCGGCGGCGCCTCAACAAAGTGCACAAACTAACAGCGCCGGACATCAGAGGGCTGGCCGGCAGATTAACGGCCCCACCATCACATTGCGACACGACGATGTACAAAATTCCTTAAACGCAAACTTTTATAGTCGATTGTTGTATGAGAACCCTACTGTATAGGGTGGAAAAAATTGGCAATGGCAATATAGTGCGACAATACACGGAAATCTTTAGTAAAAGGCGAAAGATTTATTCGTTCTGTATTGACGCCATGCCGGGTGACTTTGAGAAAAAGTCCTTTTTCTTATACAGCTTTGTGAAAATTTACACTTGTGGGACGGTAAAATTTAAATTTTGTCCGCTTGACAAAACGATGGCATTGGCGGCCAAAGTCCAAATTAGACAAGTTTAGTTGGCGTTAGGGTTAAGCTGGCCGATACTATCCGAACTTGATGCCCTGCGCAAGGGGCAGGTCCCTGGAATAGTTGATGGTGCAAGTGTGTCGAGTCATGTACTGCTGCCAGGAGGTGCTTCCAGACTCTCTTCCCCAGCCGGTCGCCTTGTTTCCTCCAAAAGCGCCGCCAATTTCTGCTCCGTTTGTGGGCACATTGACATTGACGATGCCGCACTCTGAGCTTGCTTTGGTGGAGGCGTCACATGTCCACTTCATAACATGTTCCAAGTTTTTTGTAAAAATCGAGCTGGAAAGTGCTTGCGGAACCGCATTGTTGATATCCACGGCCTCTTCAAATGACTCGAACGGGACAAGGTATAAGATCGGCACAAAGGCCTCCTCCTGAAGCAAAGGTGCGTGTGATGGCAGTCCGCCAACCAACACAGGCCTAGCAAAATACCCCTTCATTTGCGGAAGACTTCCAGCTTGAGCAAGAACACGGCCCCCTTGAGCGGGAACTTCCTTTTCCAATATCTGCGTATACTTTTCAAGCGCCGTTTTGGTGTGAAGAGGACCACAATGGACATCCGGATCAAAGGGGCTTCCAATGTTGACGCTCTTGTAAGCTTGCACCAGCCGGGCTGTAAACTCTTCATAAATGGACGAATGAATGAGAAGCCTTCGCGCACTGGTGCATCTTTGTCCCGTGGTTCCGACGGCGGCAAAAAGAACCGACCGCAAAGCCAAATCAAGATCGGCATCTGGCATCACGATGATAGCGTTATTGCCGCCGAGTTCCAAAATAGAACGCCCAAATCGAGAGGCCACTGTAGACCCGATGGATCGGCCTACGCCAGTTGACCCAGTGAATGAAATCAACGGAACTTTATCGGAAGAGACCAAGGTAGATCCGACTTCCATTCCACTGCCAACGACCAGGGAACATATTTCAGGGGGGAGTTCGTTTTTCTTGAGCACTTCCTGAATCAGGCGAGTCAGCGCAATTGCTGTCAGCGAAGTCGATAGGGCCGGCTTCCAGATCACAGGGTTTCCACATACCCAAGCCAGAGCGGCGTTCCACCCAAACACGGCCGCTGGGAAATTAAACGCAGTAATAACCCCGGTCAATCCGGCAGGCCGCCACGATTCTAACAGAACATGACCTCGTCGCTCAGATGGAAATATGCTCCCCGGAAGCATGCGTGAGAGGCCAATAGCGTAGTCGCAAATGTCAATGATCTCTTGGATCTCGCCCAAGCCTTCCTGGTATGTCTTTCCAACTTCTGCCGACACAAGAGCTCCCAATGCCTGTTTTTGGCGAGAGATTTCTGTCCTTGCGGCAGCCAGAAATTGGCCTCGCTCTGGCGCCGGGACACTTGCCCATTTATCTTTGGCCTGGAAAGCGCCTTCAATGGCTGCTAAGGTATCTTCTTTGGTAGCCTAAAAGATAATTTTGAATCAAAAATAAAAAAGTTACGCATTTGAACGTACCAATTGGCGACAAGTCGCATGGATTGATAGATTCAACAGTGGCGCCGGAGGCCACGCTGATGGCGCCGTTGCCAAAGAGACCCGGGTTGCAGCCAGAGCCATATGGAAGCAAATTCAGGTCATTTAAAACCTTTTTTATGGCCGATGCTGACGAGCTGAAACGGCGGTAAATGGTGGAAATACTACCAGTCAAGCGCATGACACTAAAATTGATCAATTTCATATGCTTTATAAACTTGTGAAAAAATTAGGGTTAGGGGGAAAGCCCGATGGCAATGTGGGAAGGGCGCAACCGGAACAGCAATGGGCATCGAGCCCACTGCTTCGGAAATGATTGCAAACCCATACATGATGGAAACGCTGAAAAAATCACGCGCTTCTCTGTGGATCCCTCAGACGAATGATCTTGACATCTGTTGAGTGCCTTGGAAGGTCCAGGGCCTGGGGCGTGATGAAAATATATTGGTTTGAGCAGTGAATAGAATTGGTAGAGGTGGCATACTCAATGAGCATCTTTAAAATGGTCTTTCTATTGACGCCATCCATAAATACATCGAATTCATCCAAACATCGCAATGGGCTCTCAACACACTCCCATAGAGCCAATAAAAGGCACGAAGTGACAAGGCTTTTTTCGCCACCAGACAGCCCCTTCAAGTCGGTCGATGAGGCAGAGGGAGATAACTGTGGCTTATTTTGAACATCCGCTGCAACTTGTGTCCGATTCGATGCTCTTTTTGGCACGCTGGAAGATGTCGTGGCAGGTGGATGGGCTTGCTGAGACATGTCAGACGGCCTGACAATGCAAATGTCCAATTTTTCAGCCTCGTGATCGAAAAGAAGGCGTCCATAAAAGCCGCGAGCACTAACAAACATCCGAAAGTGAAGATCAGCTCGCTTGAAGATTATGTCTCTGAATGCAAGCCAGCGCGAATGTCGGTCGTTCAGCGATTTATCTAAAGCTTGAATCAGCTCGCCAAAAGAAGACGCATCTTGAGTCCAACATCCGAGCGAAAGAGAGGCCATTCGAAGCTCCATAAGCAGACGGTCGGAATCCTCTTGAAGGTTGGCTGCATGCGAAGAATGTGCTTTTCGCTGAGCCTCAAGCTGCTGCTCCAAGCTACGAAGATGCCTCTGAATATCGTCCAGCGGCCTGACCTCAGAGGCAAGCGGAGCTGGCGGCCAATGCTCAATTGCTTTACCATAAGCATCAGTATGCTCCTCAGTGAGAGAGTGAAAGCTTTTATGCAAAACAGGAAGCTGGCCTTCTAAATGCACCAGCTGAATCCGCTTCCCTTCAAGGCTGGCCTTCACATCCCTGATCCCCGCCACCAAGGACGACATATTGTCTGTTTCGATTCGAAGAGCCGCCTCGGAACTTTTAATTGAGCATTGTGACTCTGACAACTGCTGAGTAAGCATTAAGTGTCGCTCCTGGAGCTGCGACCTTTTGCAGGAAAGATCGTTCAGCTGTGCATCAATGATGGCAACACGTCTCAACGCAGCATCTTTAGCACTTTGCACGTCTTGTTGAGAGGCCGAAATGGCCGCCGGATCGTTGGCCCTCTTTAGAATGGAAAGCTCTTCCTCTAGACTGGCCTTTTCCCGGGCCATCTGTCTGATTTCGGCAACCAAAGAGCTCCGCTGGAACGAAATCTCTTTGACACGGCTGTTGAGGCCTGAAAGCTCCGTGGAAAGCTCATTCCCGATCTGTTCTTTCTGCGCTAGTTGCTGAGAAAGGCTTGACATTAAGGAGCGTTTTGCTGAAATGGACCTATGCATGGCCTCCAAATCAACTTTAGCGTTCGCAATGGCAACCGATCCAGTGCTGTGCGACTCCGATAGACCGCAAGTGCCGAACCATCTTGATGGCCTATCTTTGGACCCGAAAGAAAAGAACGTCTGTGCTGCGCCAGATAAGCTTATCTTTTGGCCTGTTGCTAAAAAGGCATAATCAAAGAGCCTATGGGACGTCGTTGAGGACAGGATTTTCACAGCCTCGGTTCGCTCTTTGCAAAGAAGAACTCGATGGATATTTGAAAGCGTACAAAGAGCTTTCTCGACAATGGGAGAAGAAATTTCAAGAGCCTTTCTTGCGGTTAATATTTCAGACGTTTCGGGAAACTGCATAAACGTTTCAGGAGTCTCCGGAAGCAGGATTACTTGCGAATTTTGGACCTCAAAGCGAGACAGAAGCTTGTTTAGAATTTCCCTTTCTGGATATGAAGAAACCACAAAGGAAGACATATGCCGCCCAATAAGCGCATCCATGGCTGTAGCCCAAATGGATGCCTCTTTAAGATGCACAAAGCGGCCAATAGGCCCGACCGGCTTGGATTCCGGAAGTGCGTCCAGATGTTGCACAAGCTTAAGCATTTGGGGCCCATAAATCAGGCCTATTTCTGCATAGCTCGTCAATCGTTGACCTTCAATGGCGGGTGCATTTGAGGCCATGGAAAGCTCGGCAGAGGTAATGGCCAGCTTTGCAGCTGGAATTCTTGCTTCAAGGGCCTCCAACTGCTCTCTTGTTAGCTTCAGAGAGCAGCAAAGGCAAGCCTCGTTGGCCTTGATTTCGTCTAGTTGAGATTCTGTTGAAGAAACTTGTTCTTCGGCCTTTGCCTTTTGGCAATCGATTTCACGAAGCTTTGATTCCTTTTCAACGAGCGAGGTCGAAAGCTCCCGTAGGGCATCGGCAACTTGATCGCCTGTTTCTGGGGCCATCGTAGCATGTGGATTATTGGCTTCACGGTCTACATGTGCATTCGCCTTGTCAATTGATTCCAAAAGTTGCATTCGACCCTGAGAAAGAACGCGCTCATCAGTTTCGCAATTGGAAATCTGAGAGGAAATCATCAAAACTTGAGACTCTATTTGGGCTACCTTTAGGCGCAAGGGCGGGAGCACAGTAGACCGGATCTCCTCGGTGGATGCCTTCGAGGCTTCTTCTTTAGAAACCATATCTACGAGCGAGTCCGTGTGAGATTGAATTTCTTGATTTATGTTTTGCAGCTTGACTTTGAGATTGTCAACTTGCACGCAAGCTTCGAGAGCCGATTCTTGCAAAGAAAACACTTGGGCCCAGACGAATTCCCTACGAGCAGCCTCGAGGTTTGCCAGCATTTCCCTTGCTTCTTTAATTGCATCCAATTGCGATTGGATTTTCCCGACTTTTGTTGTTTGATCGACAATGCGGTCCGAGGCAATGGAAAGCCGATTTCGCATCAGCGACACAAGATTTCCGGCCTGTTCATAATCTTCAGAGAGCCGCTGTAGCTGAGACCCCTGCATCACAAGACGATATCTTTCAGTTGCAGAGGAGGTAGCAAGATATCGCTTGGCAATATCCTGCGTAAGCAAAATCAGGGGGTTTTCAATCTGAAGCCGGTAAAACGAGATAATTTCCCTAATAACTTCGCGGGGTTTGTCGCCGCCAACAGAAGATCCAGTGCTATTTCTCAATCGATAGGTTGAACTTCCATCCAGAGTTACCTTCCTTTCAACGGTAATGGAATCTCCAAATTTTTCCCATTGAAAGCGTTCAGAACCTCCGTTAAAGAGGGTTACCGCTACGGAAAAGAAATTCGAGCCTTCCTTTATCAAAGAGGAGATTTTGTGGCCCCTCTGTGTCTTGCTTGCCGTGGATCCAAGAGATACCATTAATGCTGCCAGAATTGCACTTTTACCGGAACCGTTTTGGCCGACGATGAAGTTAATGTGCGGTCCAAACTCCACCTTCAAGTGTTCGTGGCACATGAAATTGACAAGCGTCATCGACTGAATAACCGGGAAATGGTTGAAGGCCGGCTGCGCTTGTCCAGAAGAGCTTTCGGCACTTGTGCAAGCATGCATCTCAAAGCCAGGGTTTGATGCCTGATTTTGGCGGGATGCCTTCATATGTTGAATGGGCTGAGTACCACAGGGTATCGATTGGAAATAAAAATCAATTTTCCCAAATTGTTCAACTTAGCAAAGCCCCCAAGTTTGAAGCGGTCTTTGCTTTTGTGTAGGCCCTATCGCTCGTCTTCCTTTCTGCCGTCGGTTGGTGAGCTTGCAGACGCCATTTCGCGCGAAAAGCACATCTGCATCCGTAGCCTGGACCCTGCCCCTGTTTTCCAGCATTTGGCCCTGGAGGAATGGATTTTGAGCTTTTTGGAGGAGGCCGTTGATCTCAACAACGAGTATCGGGTTCTTCTTTTTTATGTTAACAAGCCTTGCGTGGTGATTGGCCGCAACCAGCTTATTTGGAACGAGTGCGATCCATCCATAATTACAACCGCAAGGAGAATGAGCGGAGGGGGAGCGGTATATCATGACCCGGGAAACTTGAATTTTTCTCTTTTTACGCCAAAGCATTTGTTTAGGCGAGAAAGAGGAATCGAGGCGCTTCGCACCTCGCTGCAGGCAGAAATTCCTGCATCCTTGCTGCGTACGTCAACGTTCCACGATCTTTTCCTAAGCGAGAAAAAGGTTTCTGGCTCTGCTTTTAGAATTGCGCGGGGGTGTGCATACCACCATGGCACGGCCCTTTTTTGTTCAGATTTGCAAATGCTTTCCAAGGCACTAAAGCCAAAGGAGTTTCCCGATTTTTTCATATCCTCAATGGGGGCTTCAAAATCAAGGCGCTCTTTTGTAGCCAATATTAACGATCACTACCCTAACCTCAAAGTGGCATCCATAATTGACGGCATGGCAAAATTTCTCGGTATTTTGATTTGCCTCCAATTTTGCGCTAGGTATCCCAAACTTTCATTCAATTGGAGCCAATTTTGCGTGGCATCAAGACTTGAAGTTTATGAAAACCCTGCACACGCTACAGGTATGAACAAGCATTGCCTAATGTGGCTGTCTAGTCTGCTGAATGGATCATCGGCAATAATCCCGAATTTAGCATAGCATGCCGAATGACAGGTAAGCAAACCACCATTGCCCGAGGGACAGCAAAGCTACCCCTGGAGTTGGGTGGCGCGGCCCGGGGTTTTATATAATAAATTTATTGAACCAGACGAGAGGCCAGGCAACTTACATGCGAGCCTCGATAGCCTTTTCTGCAACAATACGACGCTTATTGGCGGCGACGGTTGACTTGATTCCAAGAAGACCGCCTCCCCATTGCTTGCGAACCTCATCATAGCGATCGTTGTAGTTGGCTTTGATGGCAGTTACTAAGGCTGCAAGAGATTGACGGTCTTCTGGGCGAACCTCGGTGAAAGCCAACGCAGTGGCGGTCTTCTTGTGGATGACAGTTCCAAGACGGGCCTTTCCCTTGACAATAGCATATGGAACTCCCATCTTCCTGCACAGTGCTGGGAGCCAAAGAACCAACTCGATAGGGTCGACGTCGTCAGCAATCAGCACAAGCGAAGCTTTCTTGGCCTCCACTAGAGCGGTAATATGATTGATTCCGGATTTGACAAAACAAGGCTTTTTGCTGCCTTCGGTGCTTTTCTTTTCAATAATGTTGACTGCCTGTTGTTGAAGACGAGCTGCCTTTTGGGGTTTAGTTTCCGGTGCATATTTGTTAAGGAGCTTGAAAAGATTTGTGGCAGTGTTCTTATCCAAAGTGCGAGAAAACTGATGGATGGTGGGGGGGACCTTTAGACGCTTCATCAAAATGGCCTTTTGACGCTGAAGACGGATATACTCGGGCCACTTTACATAACGAGACAGATCGCGAGTGGGCTGCACGTCGCATCCAACGGAAAAGTTTTTGGGGCGGCTTTCAAAAAGTGGGTTTTTCACAACCTTTTTTGCTACATGCTTTGTGGTCTTCAGCACTGGAGCCCTTGCAACTGGCTTTTTAGATGATACCTAGCAAAGTGTTAAAAACGGACCATTTAGAAAGCATAGGAATGGCAAGTTGGGGCCGTGCATGACGGATGAAATGCATCATTAATTGAAGATGGGATGGATCTACCTACCATTTGAGATTAAAATATTAAGTTGAATTTAATTGATCAATTAAATTTTAGCGGAAAAGTATTTTTCAAAGTGGAATGACTCGATTCTGCCTCTCACACTTTGTACATCGTCGATGTTATGCGATGTCTGGTGCGAGCTCGCCATCGCCCATCATTTCGCTTCCCGCAGCTGCATTCAGGACAAAAAAATGCCGAATTCCAAATGTCGTTGAAACAAACATTACTGACTATCCAAAAACAAAGACCGCTGTCGCCAAAAATAGAGAAAGAATGGCCGCTGGGCTTCCAAAAGTCACAATGCTCCAAAGGGACAAATATGTTGGCCCAAGGAAGGTTTTCATGGACCGTCTGCTAGCCTCTCAAGACACATCGTCAAAATGTGTTCACGAAACCTATTACAAAACCCTTGAATCGGTGAAAGGTGCTTTGCTGCCTAGAATTCCAGCAGAGCTTTTCCAAGAAACGCCGGATGTCATTAAATACATTTTGTCTTTAAAGATGGCTACTAAGGGCGATCTTTTTGATGCTAGGAAAGAGGCAATCATCCATGATCTCCAGGCGCACCAAACCGACACAGGAAGCCCAGAAGTCATCGGTAAGTTATTGGTAAGCTATTGAAACGCCACTTAAGTGTCGACCATTACTCCCCCTACATGCGCGCTTTGTTTGAACCGTTTCTAATGTCTAGTTGGAGTGATGACAAACAAGGCCATCCAACTGACCGAGCATCTTAAGGCCAATAGACACGATTTTCACGCGCAAAAAATTTTGATCCAAACCATCCAGAGGAGGCGGAGGATGCTATCGTACCTCAAACGCCAATCTCTTCAGCGGTATTTTTGCCTGATGAAAAAGCTGGGAATAACTCACACCGATTTGGTTTAATTGCATAAACTTTAAAAAAAATTTACCCGTTTTGCAAACAGCGATAAATGGCACCCCCATCCCAATCCCATACCCAATCTGCCGATCCTGCTTGCGCCAAAGAGGAGGACCATAAAAGCAAGGAATCCAATTCAATTTGCAATATCAATTCGAAAGATGGTTCCGCTGTGTATTCCACTCCTCTTCATTGCTATTTAAATGGGAGCCGACCTTCTCCTCCTCCAATGGCCATCCAGCCTTCTCTTTTAAAGGAGCGTTTAAATAGTGCCGGCGACAATCAGGTTTTTATTATTGGAATTGCGGGAGGGTCTGCTTCTGGAAAGACGTCTGTGTCGGAGGCCATCATTAGAGACATCAATGATGTCTCTAATGTGGTACTGATCTCGATGGATTCGTTCTACAAATGCCTTTCTCCAGAGGCATCAAAGAAGGCGTATGCAAATGAATACAACTTTGACCACCCGGACGCCTTTGAATTTCCGCTGCTGTATGACACTTTGTTAAAGCTGAAGAATCTGGAGCCGGTAGATATCCCGGTGTATGATTTTAAAATACATTCGAGAACATCTGAAAGCGTTCACATCCACAAGGCCAAGGTTGTTATTTTCGAGGGAATTCTGGCACTTTACGACCGCGAAATACTTGACCTTATGGATATGAAGATTTTTGTCGACACCGATTCTGACGTTCGACTCGCTCGTCGCCTGAAACGCGATATCAATGAGCGAAGGAGGGATTTCAACGGGGTTCTCGATCAATACAACCGCTTTGTCAAGCCTTCGTTTGATGATTTCATCCAGCCGTCCGTTAGAAATGCAGATATCATCATCCCCCGTGGAAAGGATAACCTCGTTGCCATCGATTTGATTACCAAACACATTTTGACGAAAATCAAATAGCAATGGAATGGAATAAACGGAGGCGGAGGGGAAAGGGAAGGAAGGGGGAGAATTGCACGTTTTAATTAAAATTTAATATTTCGTAGTCGAAAATTGCCCAAGTTTAGTTGAATTGGAGCTGGAGCTGAAACTGGGAACGGCGGATTCGTAGCCTTTCCCCCGGGGTTTGGTTGACAAAGATGCCTGGTCTTTTCCCCTGGAATTTGATCTCTCTCTCTTCTTGCTTGATAGATCTCTAGAGGCGCTATCCCGCGATTTGTGACTTGGTTCGGCTCTGCGAGAATCGCGAGTCGAATATCTTGTTCTGTGTTCGCGGGTTTCCTTTGAAAATGTGCGGCCTTTGCCTTCACTGGTTCTATCGGGGTTCTTGTCCCTTTTTTTCTGGTCTATCTCATCGCTGCGTCTATGAACACTGGCACGGCCTTTTGACCTTGATCTTGGAGATCGCAATTGGTCTTCTGTAGAGTGTGAACGGCTGTTTATGCTTGTTGGGGCGTGCGAATGGCGACCATTTGAGCTTGGGTTTGTGGGCGAGTGGTTTCTCCTACACGATGAGACCTTTTTTTCCAACTCGACAGTAGGTTTGCGTCCGTGGATCTGATGTGATTTTAGATAAGAATAAAGCTTTGATCCATCCTCTTCGCACTCAAACTCCAGCTCGGCTATTCCCTTGCTTTTTCCAGTTGGCTGCTGCTCCTGGAACGTGATGAATTTCGGAAGATTTTGGCTGCAGCCAGCCTCCGAGCAAAGACGAAACAGGTCCGCATCAGAGGTCCACTATAACGATTATCAACCAATAAAAACCAACCCAAGTTAGCCCGGAAATCGATACTGTAGTCATTGAGGGAAGGGCCTGGGTGGTTGCCAACAAGAAAAAACTAAATTAATTAACTCGACTTAAATGCTTGCCCAAAATTTAGCGTTCCCTTTTGGGAGTTGGGCCGGCAACCGGCAGCGCCTGCACCCATCAAAGCATGGCCTTTCAAAATGGTAGCCGCTCATGCATGGGATGCGATCCGAAAAGTACGAAACAATAATTTATTACATGACCAATTCATTCCGTATTAAATAAACGTATCAAAGAGATCGGGTCTCTTAATGACGCCGTCCGGAACAGCAGCATATGTGTTACGCTGGCCAAGATTACTGGAATATGATAGGCAGGTTAGGTCCGATCCGAAATAATCGTCAAATGACGTGTCGGCCATGGACGAGGGATGGGATTTCAACATATCCTTGTCCACACTGAAATCCTTGGCACTTGTTAGCCCTGTTATCCGGTCTTCTCCCGTGAAAAACGTATCCAGTCCGTGGGAAAAATATCCGGACGATGCCTTGATGGGTTGCGGGATCGCCAGGGGCGGTGCTGCATTTGCAAGCGTCCCTTGGGAAGATGGCGCTTGCGCCGGTTGATGACTCTGGAACGACATGGCTGGGTGGCTCGATCCCGCCGCCTCCATCGGTATCATTGTCCGTTGATGTTGAAGGGGAGCAGGAGACATAAGAAGTGGGGAAACCTTTGCCAATTTATGCGGAAGATACGAGGGGAAACACGCCTGGTGGCGTCCAAGGAAAGCATTGACGTGAATCAAATTCGACTCGCGCTTCAGGTCTCTTTCAAGGGCATCTACAAACAGCCTCTCGTGCGGTACGGAGTACCAGTAGAAGACCTTTTGTTTTTTCTGCGTTCTAATGCACCCGTTTCTGTACAGCAATTCTAAAAATTCCGATCGCGGCTCCTCCAACGCCGCATCAAGGCCCGGCTTCAGGTTTCTAAGGTCCGAAAAAATGCCTTCCTCAAATTTTTTCGTGTTAATGATGGGTCGTTGGATGAACTGGAATCTGAAAAGCAGGATTTTGACAATGTCTGTGCCGGTTACGTAGAAAAGGCCCTTCCAATAAATGCACGACACGATTTCCCCGTTTCCAAGGGGGAAGCGACGGATCAAATCCTTGGTGTCCCAACTGGAGGGCGCCGTTGCCAAGAACACTTTGAGCCGCTCAATCGGATCCTCCATGTACGGCACACTTCTAGCGAGCTGAGACTTTTGGAAATGAGGGAATTGAAAGCTCATGTTTTGCACCATCGGGAATGACATGGCGTTTGATGATATCATCGAGTTGGGAGTTGGCTGCGGAAATGCCGAGGCGTGCTCCATGGCCATCATGTCCTCTGGTACCCGATCCGAAAAGTAGGTCTGCTGTTGATGTTGGTTCTTTTGCTCCGAACAATACCCGAGGAAATGAGTATTCATGGTCTAGGTGGAGTATGGGCACAATTGACCTCGATCGCCCAAAACGCCCAACATATCATCAGGAGACTAAAGACGACCCCGTCCAGAACAAACCATTGGCCATAATGTTTGAAGACGTCCGAGGAAGTGTTGAATAAAAAATTTACAAATGCTCCAAGGCAACCTCAATCAAGGTACAATTTAGGCCGCGGCGTGCTGCAAACAAAATTTACATCAATTTACTTTTTTGAAAAAAAGGTCTTGCCACTTTCCAGCCTTTGATAAACGGTTCCATCGGGGTATACAATTTCGTGGATCAGCTCAGAACGCGGCCTTTCGTTATTTGTCTGTGAGTTTGGGGCTCTCCCAAAAGGCAGCGATGCTGCAGAGGAAAAGTACTTTTCCACCTGCCCGTTTGGCCATTTGTAGGTTTTAGTTCCGGTTTTGGCACATATGATGCATGTGATCCCGGTATCCAAGTAGTAGTGGATGACGTCGTTATTCGCCATGATCTGTTTTTTCTGCAGCCCCTTTTTTAAATAATAAAATATCGACCCCTGAAGGGCGGGGTCCAAGTCAGACAGTTCCGGCGATGCCTTGAAGTCGACGGGAAGTTTTTCTTTTGCACTTGCGTTGGAATAGAACTTTATGGTTATTCCAGAGGTGTATATTCTGAACACCTGCACATGATCATAGCCGTCATTTAAGACCGTTTCCTATCAGTAAAATCGGGCAACGCTTCACTTACATGCACATAGTCGTGGATGTTTCTTTGAAAGAACCTGCAGCCATCAAACCGCGTCCAAAACGGATCCGTTTGGGTCCGATTTTTTTCATTCTCGACATCAATTATGCTCTGCAAAGAATCTGGTGCTGGTAGCTTCTTGTTAGCATTGCTGGCGGCAGCCGTTTTAGGCTCCATCACGGCCGTTGCAGCCGTTCCTATTGAGGGGGGTTGTTTTTTTGACTTTTTTTGTTTTCTTTTGCTTTGAAGAGTCTAAAAAGGGTTAGCATTTTCAATTACATTGTCGCTTTTGTGATGCGGCTCGGTTTTCCTTGAGGGATGGGTCGAAATTGGGATAGCTTTTATTTTTTCAATAGAGTAATCGTCATCCAGAAAGGGATGATGGCTTTTTTGGGATACCGAGAAAGAAAAGTCTTTTTGGGGAGGCTGCATCGAATAATGGGACGCCTTAATTGCAGCAAGGAATCTTTTGACCTTATTGAGCGAAGATCCTGAGCCCTTGAGAGACGCAGGAAGCGGTTCATAAAAAGTCAGCGGATTTCTGCCAAGAAAAATGCTGGACGTGTCAGCGGTAATTGAATTGAGCCTCATTTGGCTAAAGTCATTGTGATTGATGGAAATCGAGTCTAAAAATTTTGAAGGAACATGATGATAGGACGAGCTTTGGCGAGAAGAAGAAGAAATTTGGGAAGCATCGTCAGTTGACGAAGAAAACTGAGAGCCATTTTTCCTTGTAAAGGTCGAGGTATCCTCAAAAAAGGAGCAATCTGTGATGTCTAAATTTTCAGCGGGAGCAATACCGCCTTGAGCCCTTACAAAGGAGCGATACATTGAATCCTCAAAAAGATTTGCGGACGAGGAATTTGAGTTTTTCAGCAGATTTTCAGCGGTTGCATCCAACCACGACGAGGATGTGGTGTCGGATAAAAGCGATAGGTGAAGAGCTGAGAGGGAATCGCCGCCTGCCGGGGACAGCTGTTGGTGATCAAGCATGTTGTTGGCGCCCGAGTACAAATTCAAATTTACAATTTCGGCTCGGGCCAATTTATTATTTACACACAAACCTTGGGCTTCAGCTTCAATGTGTTGTCAGCTTGTTTGCACGGAATTTCAACGCGAAACTTAGGGTTGCGTTGTATTTTACAATGGCTATTTATTTGTATCTGCAGCTGGCTTTGCAAATATCGGTTTTGGCTGTGTTTTCGTATACGCGGGCGTAACGAATTTGGGGTCTTCCTCTGCAATCTTTGCGTACTTCAAAAGAGCCTCTCTTGGATCGTCATCTACAAAGTTAAAGGAATACACCATACCTCTGCTCCTGTCCGGTATAAAGTGCTTTAAAATGTGCTGCGAAATTGACGTTCCAATTTTGCCGCCTTTACCGGGCCCATAAATGGGGGGCAGCTCGGGCCTCTTTGTGGCAATGGGGTCCGGCCGCTTGCGGGTCGGAATCGGCCCCAGGTCTATAAAATCTTCATCATAAAGCGGATCCGTCTCCGGGGCATACACACCGGCGTTAATATCGACGTCTGCATAAACAAGATCGGCAGATTGGCCCTTTTGGGCGGCCTTTTTGGCGACAGAAGATGAAGAGCACCGAGGGGTAAAGTTGTCTTCCGTGAACAGGTTGATAGAACCATCAGACAAGCCCATCACAAGCTGATGTGAGTCCCATGCAACTCGAACAACTCCGGCTCCAGTGGCCACTACAAAGGATAACATACACATGCGCCTGCATACCTTCTTCCTTTAATTCAAGCGTCTTGGAATCGAATGCTTTAAGCGATCCAGGCCCTTCTCTGTCATTCGATATGCCTGTGGCAAGGAGAGCCCCGTCCGGAGATAAGACGAGATCGGCCTCCTCGAATGCAGTTGGCAAGGCAGAGACAGATGCAAGAGGCTCTTTTGGGGAAAGCTTCCGCATATCCCACAGCCTGATAAAGCCGTCCATGGATCGAATTGCAACGCTTTCGTTTTTCGTGAACGCAATGCTGGTGATTAGCGCTGCTTGGGGCAGGGACAGCGACGCCTGCTTTTTATTGTTGACCCAAAGCTGAACCAGACCGGCGTTAGATCCAGACATGATTCCAGATCCATCTGGAAGCCAAGAAACAGCCGAAAGCTGGATCCTTGGCCCTGCCATAATTACAGAGGCACAGCCGCGCGAGTGGGCATCCCAGGTCCTAATGGTCCCATCGACAGATCCCGTAACAAAGCATTCGGAAATGACGGGATGCCATTGTCCGCCACACATGGCTCCAGAATGGCCAATGGTTTTGCGCTTGTCTAAAAGATACGGGTCGCCTCTTGGAAATTCATATCTAAAGTGGTGATGCATTGGGGGAAAAAGCCTACATTAGCCGACCATCTCTTGTCACCAAAGCAGGCTGAGGGGAGCGGGGTATTATGAGAACTTTTTCGCTACGAGAGGAAAAACCGATTGCACGAAGGGGATATGTGCCAAATGGCTCTTCGTCTTCTCGAAACAACAGCCCCTTTTCCCAAAGCTTTAAGTTGTGGTCGTAGCCAGCGGTAAACATCCGAACGCCAGAAGAGTCCAAACCAATAGATGCCACGGCCCTTCTGTGCTTATCGGGAAGGACGAGAAGCTCTTTTGAAAATTTTTCAAATGTCAATTTTTCCACTTTCTCATGCCGGTGAGGATTGCCGTTGTGCTCTGGCTGGCAGCCATTATCATTGGAAGACATGAAATTAAATTTTAAATTTTACAACATTTAATAAAAATCTAAAGGGTTTGTTGGCCATCCTCCGGAAACATCAGAGAAAATCTTTCCTTGTTTAGTTTCTCCATTTCCATCTCCTCGGCCGCAATTCTTCTTTTCAGCTCCGGGGGGAATCTCTATTTGTAAACAACTAGACGGCCGTACATCATAGACATCTTTCTCCGATGGCAAGACGGACCTCAAAGCCCACGTTAGTACTGTCGGAACGACCACAATCGTTGCTATGGTGGCAAACGGCCTGTTCATTCGATTTAAATTTAATTGGGTAAAATTAAAAACTTTGCACCCTTGCAATTAATTCCTTCAAATTGCCTGCTGATTGTAAATTGTTCTTGTTGTTGCCCTTGCACATTGTACTAGTTCAGACGCAGATGACGTTTAGATTTGTTGCGGTTACCATGTGCATGAAACTTGAAGGTGCGACTGTATTTGCCGCTGACGATAGCATGTGTATGTGATGGGCGCAAAAATTCAATACCCACCCACACATTAAGAATGCATTTAAAATTTATGGAACCGCCAATTGAGGAACACTCCACCATTCTGAATGACCTTTTCAAGGCGTCAGAAGCCATAGTTAGAGGTGGGCCGTGTCAACCTTTTACGTTTAGAATCTTCGATCAAAATCCCATTGTTGGTTGCCAAGCCTCTTAAAGTGGCGGACGCTCTTTCTAAAATTAGGGCAAAAGCAATCACAAGAGCCAAGAGACAAAACAATAGTGGCACCCTACCAATTTGGGGTAAAGAGGAGGAAAAGAAGGAAAACACCTGCTTTAGCGTTTCATCCGATGAAGAGGACAATGCTACCCATCGAGATTTCGACAAAAATGGGAGACTAAAAGACCATGGTGAACACACGTATGCACAATCCTTCTCTGAAAGGCTTGAGGATCAAACAGATCCAAGCAGCGACAATTATGAGGCCAGTGCCGAAAACCCCGCGTTGAACAGAGTATATTCCGATCCTATCAGTTCAGGCGAAGAAAATGAACATCCGGACGATCAGGAACAGAGCGAAGAAGAGGAAGTGGAGAATAGTCTCCCTGCTATGATTGGCGCCAATCAATCCGTTGAAGAGAAAAAAGTAGATCCATCGGCAGCGTTTAAAAAAGGAAATTCGGCATACATAAAGATGATTGCCTCGGAGCTGCAAAAGACAGCCCGGCGGTCAGCATATGTTGATGAAGAGGCCGAGGAGGAAGGTGTGGAGGTTCCCAACGATTTCGATGAAATTTCGCAAGAAGCAGGGTTAGCTTCTAACTTTATCAGCGAAATTCAAGACTTGATCGACGATGAGGAGGATGGAAAGAACGATGGATCGTCATTGCACCAGTCGATGTTTGCCCGGCAAATGATTTCAGAGTCCCTGGAAGAATCTGAGATGATTGCCAGACTTTTGGAAGAAAAAAAGCAAACGCGCCTATCTAATCTTGCTCTTAAAAGGAAGTACGGACGCAGGGCTGCTACTAGTGTTGACGCGCAAAAAGAGGACAATCACCGGTTTTCATCTCCGATGGCCGTTTTGCACGCTCTGTGTAAGTATACGTGTGTAATTTTATTTAGCTGTCAATGATGAAGACGAAAAAGAAAGCGATGTTGAAGATCCGGAGCTTTTGGACTTTTTGTCATGGAGAGAACAGAACAACGTCGTGGACACAAACAAGGGGCAAGAAAAGACCCTGCCGGCAGCTTTGTCGACAGGCGGGCCGCGGTCTTTTGCATCATCTGCAACCTTGATGATATCAACGGCTGCAGTTGGGACCAAAAAAAGAACATCCGAGGACATTCTTAAACGGCTGGGTGCATTGGACTTTGTTTCCTCGACGGGCGGCCAAAACGCAAGCTCATTTACTGTAAAAAAATGAATTTCCAAGTTAAAATAGTCAAAAAAGGCAATTGCTTTCCAACCAGTTTGCTACCCTAACCCCAACCCTGTCTGCTATTGTGTTGCAAAGCCCCAATTTAGGGCCTGGTAAACTGCCAATTGCAGTTGTTGTAAATTCCCAATTTCGGTTGCTGTAAATTACTATTTACATTGCGTAACATCACATTATTACATCATTTCCAATAAAATTTGTATTTTCCGGCACCGATAATGATAACAGACCACCGATGCTGCCCCTCTTCTCCGCAGACACAAACCTCAGACCACATCGAGAGCGTATATGGCAGGGAGTTGGGCACGATAGACCTGCCCTGGCAGCCCTTTGCCCTTTCGGTCCATCAGGACACGATGGCCGTGGGCAGCTTCATCCAAGACCGGGAAAACTTTATTTCGCTTTATAACATTTCTTCAATTCAAGAGGCACAAAAGATCTGCGACCTGAAGCACGACTTTCCTCCCTGCCAACTGAAATGGTCCTCCTCTGGACTTCTTGCTTCTTGTAGCCAAATGATAAATGTATACAAAATCTCTGGCGATAGCTTTGAGAATCCTCTTCGCCTATGCACCGGCATTGCAGTATGCAGGGTTTTTTTATATTAGAGGAAACTGCCTCCAAATGCCAGCGCGCCAATCACAGCCATTGCGTGGAATCCAGTAGAGGCCTCCATGCTGGGAGCGGCATCGATCGATACCACTTGCACCATTTGGGATGTCGAGGTATTTCATTGATAACTGATCTTTCCCTAGAACGGCCAGGTGAAGACACAACTGATTGCACACGACAAGCAGGTGTTTGATATTTCGTTTGCAAACTCTGCCCATCTATTTGCGACAGCTGGCGGAGACGGGAGCATACGCATATTTGACCTGAGGCACCTGGACCACTCGACAATTTTGTATGAAGAAAGTGATCCGTTATTACGGGTGTGTTGGAACACACTTGACTCGCACTATTTGGTTGCTTTTGGAATATACTCCCAAAACGCCATTTTGCTGGACACAAGAGTGCCGTCAGTTCCTGTTGCCGAGCTGGACGGGCATGCCGGAATCATAAATGACATATGCTGGTCGCCCAGAAACCCCAAGCTTGCTGCGTCTGGTGCAGACGATGGGCAGCTTTTAATTTGGGATACCTCTACTTGCCTCCAACAAACGGAGAGCTTGGTTGAGTTTGAGGCGTACCGGACATTCTCCTCAAAAAGCGAAGTACAGCAGATATCTTGGATAACCGGATCAATTATAGCATTGAGCGATAGAAGCTCTGTCTCGCTAGTCGATTTTAATCTGTAAAAAGGGATACAGTTTCCAATTGTTGCCTGCTTGGTGACTCGTTTTCAATGGACATGTATTCGATTTCAATGGGCATGTATTTGATTTCAATGGGCATGTATTTGATTTCAATGGGCATGTATTTGATTTGAATTCACAGGCGTCCAATGCACCGGCCTTCATTCCAATCGGGCTGCTATTTAGTAAAATGTTTGTAATATTTGCCTGGCAGATTTTAAATTTTACACCGGCCCATTCATCAACACATGCTTAGACCCTCGCTGCCAACATATCTTCCTCCGCCCAATTCCATACAAAACAACCCCAGTGTGATGGAAAAATTGACATTTTGCATCAACGGTGGAGGCCACGAATCGCCTACCAGACAACCTGCCAGTGGCGCCGATAGGCCTGATCCTTTGGCCTCTTCTGAGGACCAGCGCAGAGCACCTACTACTTCGACCTCGAGGCGCAGATTGGATTTTATGGCATAATCCCATTTGGCCTTGTATTTGGACATTTATAATTAAATAGAGTCAGATTTGGCCCTCTGAACCACAATGCTGAACGGGTTGAATTTAAAGTCGCACCATTTGTAGCTAAACAATAAAGCAGAATACAAGTGTTTCTTTTCCTGCATTCTTTTTAGAATCTTCAGCGAGCAGTTCAAGTCCTCTTCAATGTGTGAAGAGCACGGGTCCATTCTAAACGAGACAACGTTTTGAGAGAGGTTAGGAGGGGATCCAGTGATGCTTTCAAGGGTCTTGATCAGGCATCCAAGAAGGTTGTTGTGGGTTAGGATTTCCTGGACCTGGGGTACCAATGCCCATTGTTGTAGCCAAAGCAGCAGCAGGTGCAAAAGCCTAACATCAGACGGCAAAAGAGAAGATTTTTGCTGGCCACTTTGGTCGTCCACCATCCGCTTGCCGATTCTTGAGTGAAAAATCGAGTAAATTATAAACATCTCATATGGGTATAGCCCAAATGACGTAGAGGAGGAACCGTCGTTCTGAACAGCAGCCGGCTTGGCGGAAAGGTCACTATTTTCCGGAGCTACAGCGGTTTTTTTGCAAGACAAGTTTTGCGGTTTGAGGTCAGAATAGGGAACAGAAAAAGGGCAGTCGCCTTCAAATCCAATCAGCGGCTTATATGGAAGCACATACTTTTGGAACAGAAAAACCGCCATTCGCATTTTTCCAGACGAAATCACAACAGGGAAAATCACAGAAAGCGCGGGCAGCAACGGGCTTATTGGCCGGTATTCATCCTTGGTGGCCTTTGAATTGAGGTCTCTTTGTAGTGCGGCCTGCATTTTGGACTCGTATGTTTGGAGATAGTGGAAGCTTTTCAAAGCCCTTGCATCCTGCCCCGTCTCAATTAGGGCCTTCAACAGAAGCGCATTAATGCTCGGGTCATAGCAAATAAACGTGTGTGGCAGGCAAAAAAGCTGGAAATATTCGATTGCAGCCTTATTGCATTGCAGCCTGAGAAAGCAACTCATGACAAGTGCGTGGAATGACGGCTCATACAGCGGGTGGTGCGAGTGGGCTGCATTGGAGCTTGAAGGCATGCAGGTGCCATATATCGAGTATCCAATATCACGGGCAAGAGGTAGGACAAACGAAGAGAGGTCAACGGCGCCAGAAGTTGAGAGGCAAAACTTTGAGGGCCCTCTAAATGCGGTCACAGACAAATACCGGTCAACAAGCAGCTTGTCACAGTACTTGATGAACTCTGAAAACGTCGGCACTGGGACAACAAAGATCGAGCCTTGCAATATTCCAATGGTGCCTAGAAAAGCAAAATCAAAACGTACCGAAAATGAAGGACATCAAGGAGATGCGTCGCATCTTTGTTAAGGTGGGGAAAATCCTACTGCGTAGCCATTGCATCCAATGTGAAATCAGCAGCGAGAGCTCCTTTGATGCCAGCAGCTGGGTTGGCAAGCCTTTGGAGAAAGAGCCGCATATACCGGGCAGCGAATCTCCTTCTTTCTCGATGAGCTTAAGGGAGTACAGCAAGTGCGACATCATGAAGAAAAAATTTAGCCTTTTAGTGTACTTTTTGAAGATCTCCGTAATGAGCCATATGTGATCTGAGGGAGACAGCGTCGAGGCTGGGCCCTGTTGACATCTAATTTCATGTGGCAATTCAGAGAATTTGATGTCGTATTTTCCGCCACCAGCAGTCTGTGTTTGGTTGGAAAATGGCTGCGAATAGCCAAGAAGGGCAGTTTCGTGGTCTTTTTCGCCCAGGTGCGTTCCAGCAGAACAGGGTGCCAATCGGGAGGAGGCGCCTACTTTTCCATCCATTGCAAACCGCTCAGCTTGATCATCGCATTTCTCGTCAAAGTTGGCATCACAAATGTGCGCATCGCTTGATACCTTTAGCCGGTCTGAAATGCTTTTAGACTCGTACGTCATCACAACACTGGCATCTGGATTTGGAACGATCCAAAAAAGCAGCTCCAAATCGCCCGTATGTTCGAGCAGGAAATAGAAGTATTTCACAAATACCGCGGTAACGGGAATGCCTTTGCTAAGCATGAGCGAATAAACCTCAAGAGCCTGCAGACCAAGCTCATAGGCAACTGGATCCTTTACAACGAGCTCTGGAGATGCTTCAAATGTGCGTGCCGAAGAATTGGCCACGTGGAAGGCAAACGTTTGAATTAAAAGCTCGCACATTTCGGACGTCGGAACAATGCCATCAAGTTGCATTTTGACAAAATTTTGCTTTGCAAGCCATGCATCGCCATTTTTCTTAGATGCCTCAAGTTTAGACAAGTAGAGCGAGTGGATATATTTTCTTGCCGAGGGATGGGAAGCCTTTTCACGCAAACCATTCGAAGGAAGGGAAGAAGAGCGAGGAGAAGATGGGGTTTGCTCGATTTTAATTGAATTTCTGGCGCCAAGTAAGCTTTCCAAATATGTTCCCTGCTTGCCCCTGGAGTTTTTGCCGTACTGACATGTAGAGCTATAAAAGGGCTTGCTCCTGCCTTTACTTTCAATGCCTATGCGTTTTAAAATAAACGGCATTGAGGGCACTAATTTGCAAAATTAAAAATTTAATTTGCCGGCATGCTATTTGGACCAATTCTGGAAAAACTCGCCACATTTGCCTGCTCCATTGACGAAAATGTTGACAAGGCATTTTTGGAGACGGTTTTGGAAACCTTTTTTGACGTATTACGATCCAATCCATTGTCCAAGCGCGATAAACTTAACGGCTTGAGCATTCTTGTTCGTATTTGGTCAAAGCTCACATACACCCCGGAACCGTTGGTACGTTGCATCTACAGAACGCTACGGGGAAATCTGGGAGAAGAGCCGCCTATTTTGGATGCAAGTAAATTGGCCTCGTTTTCTGGAAAAGACCCCCTTGATCCATATACCCTTGAGCCCTTTTTGGTTGACTTTTCGTTTGGAATTGAATGCCATCCGCTGCTTTTCATGCTTACATTCCAGGTGATTAGTTTTCTCGACAAGCTGCCGAAACACAGGGCCATCGCCAGAGACGCGGCGCCACTATTGAAAATCCTGATGCTTTTGCCAAATTTGGCTCTTGCAGAAAAGGAAGGGTTCCTTCCCCAGTGTTTACCTGGCGTAATCTCTTCAGTCTCAAAGTGGCTTCAAAAGGATTGCATTGCCTCCAATCCATCAGAGATTACCACATTATCGATCAAGGTGTTTGAGGTATGGATCTTCCACACCTTATCTGACGAGGTCTATAAGGCCATTTCCCCAGATGCCTGCCAGGCAGCGGTCTGTGATGCAGACGCGAAGCCAGCTAGGACGCCCTTTTTGAACTCGCTTCCCAAGGTCATCAGAAAGGATTTGCATTGGTTCGAAAATTGCCAGCGCAAAATACTTCCGCTGTTGTCCACGCTTATGTCGATCCTCAACAAAATGTGCTTTGTTTTTGGCCATTTACTTGTGTCCGTTGTCACTCTTCTGCTGACATGCCCCACCATGTTGCTTCCGTTGCGGAGCCAAATTCTGATTAGGGCCTTTTTGGTTTCTGGGTGCCCCTCAACCTTTTCCTGTTTGCTGTTTTCTCGGCTTGCAGTTTTTTCTAAAGATTTAGAAAACATCTTGCACGCACACGTGAGAGATCTCGATGCAATTTTTGACGACGATTCCTCGCTTGGTTGTTCCCTTGAAACGCTTGTTGGCGAAAAGTTGCAAGTTATCCATTCAGTGATCACTATTGAGCCATTAGTTTCCACTGGTGTGATTGCTGACATTGTCAACATTTTCCAAAAACATTGCTGTTTGTTCTACGATTCCAGAGTTGATGCGATCCGGATTTGTGTCAAGGCGTCCAGTTTTTACACGTTTCCAGACCTTTCCCGACTGGTTGGGGTGATTTTCACCAAAATCATGTGCTTTAAAGATCGCATGTGTTTTGATTTTTCCTCCCCTTTGATATGGTACTTGATTTCATGCGAGAAAAATGCTGCGCTCATCAACAAGTGCTTTCGACGCATTTGCAGGGATTTCGACCGGATTTTCGAGATGGATTTGAAAAAGCTGTCCTCAGATGTTCCCATTTTCTCGCTGGAGTCACCAAAGATAAAATCGCGCGACATCAAAATCCCCATCGCCCCTGTTTGTAGAGCAGAAACTCTTTTAAACATTTCTTCGCTATCCATTGGCACAAGCACGTCTTGTTGGTGCAATCACCAATGTAACAATATTGTGGCGGCGCTGAACGTATTTTCCCAAATGGAAGATGAGGTTTTGTGCAAATCCGACGTGCTGTTTTGTTTGATCCCGAAGCTTTTGCAATTTTGGGGCAGTCCCAGCTACTTTGAGAGTGCATACAAAGATATCCTTGCCTCGCTTTCGTTTTCCATTTTGGGAAAGCTTTCCAGGTTTAGCAATTTTTCCTGCGATATCGAGGGCATTTCTTTATTTCTTTCCAAAAACACCCACTTTTTGCTCAGTTCCGTCTTCCTAAGCGAAAGTTGCCAAGACGAGTTGCCCGAAGATGTTCTGATCGCCAAAATGATGCACATTTCCAGCATATTGAGGCCTTTATTTTCGTCGCACATTTGTATTTATGAGATTGTGCTCCCCAATATCCCATTGCTCGATAAGGTCCTTTCAATTCTGGAGGACCATCAACATCATTCTGCGGTGGTTACCGAGTTCCTTGACATCATTTGGACACTATCCAATTCTTCGGTATTTAAGCGAGAGGGGCCTGTTGAAGCCCAATTGGCCGCAAATGAGTGCACTTTATTTTCAACGGAGACCGTGCAGGCATTGAGGCAATCATTTACAAATGCCAATTCAGCAAGCCTTGAGGTTTCTCCATCTGACCTGCAAAAACAAGTCTCCACTGATGCAGATGCAGATTTTTGTTCTGAACAATCAAGGAGAGTCGATAGGTTTATTATGCTCGTCTTGCCCGTAGTATCTCAATTTCTTTGCAGTGACCACTGTCAAATAAGACTCGTAGCATTTAAGATTGTAACCAACCTTTTTGGCTATTTTGCCATTGCTTATGGGGCAAAAAGATGCCAAGGTTGTTCGCCCTTTGACCTTCCATATTCAAAGGAGCTATTTCCGCTGCTGCATTCGACAATTTGGCCTCCGCTGCTTGCATCCTTGAAGCATGCAGATGACGCATCTCTTTTCATAGCGGCTCTGGAAACCCTTTGCTCGATCACTTCGTGTTGCTACTCTTTTGTGAAAGATCGGATGAAGCTGATAGTGAAAAACCTGGTTAAAAGCCTCTCTTTTGCCATTTCAAAAATCGAGAAAAAAGGGATTCCACTGGTCTCCACAATTGAAGACCGAGAAAAGGCGTTACTCTCGGCATCGGCATCGGCATCGGCATCGGCATCGGCATCGGCATCGGCATCGGCATCGGCATCGGCATCGGCATCGGCATCAGCATCAGCATCGGCTTTGGCATCGATTCCGTATGCAGAATCGCGGCACTTGGAGATGTTGTCCTGCTTGATTGAACGGCTGGCAGTTATGATCAGCAATGTGGGTGCTGTTGAGGACAAGAACTCAATTGTCACGATTCTCAATTGCATGAAAAGCAGCATTTTCCTCAATACTGCAACCTCGAGACTGTCTTCCACAATCCTTGGCAATAGATTGAAGCTTCTGAAGACCATAGACTCCATTGCTCCACATTTAAGCTACTACAGCTCCATTTTGGAGTAAATTCAAACCTCATGCGAGTGATGCAATTTTTTGCCTCTAACCGCGCATATGTTGCATGCGCCTATCACCGGCGTGATGATATTCTTTGCAACGATTGTTCCCGCTTTGCAACGTTTGTCATAATGTCATGAAGGCTTCTATTTTACCGCAGCCTTTTACATTTCATCCAGGCAGGCCGCGGGCACCGCATTCGGTTGTGCTCCCATGTAGACACGGAGGTCAATCATATTTCAGATTTAAATCTAACGTTGACATTTCAGGAGAGTTTGCTTTGCTGAGAAAGTTCAACCCAAACATACCTTTTAATGCATCGTAAATTGGCACCCAAACAAAAACTTGATTTACACCCTCTTTGGGATGCTCCTACATCTTTTATAATGACTTTTTGTTCTCCAAAGTATCAAAGAGTCTGGAGAGTTTTCATAATCCAAATGAAAAAGTAAACTTCCATTGTCTAATGCCAGCCGTGTTGGCGACCGTTTTCGATTCCAGCCAACCGATCTCGGGATTTAGGGTTGGGGTCCAATAAAGTATAAAAATTTGCTTTACTTGATTGGATGATTTTGGAATTTTAGTCACAAACCGAGGTTGAATTTTAATTTACTGTCTTTTTTGAATTATGGATGCCAATTTTGATGGCGAGGTTTCTTTAGAATCGATTGGGAACAGGTTGTGGAGTGTTTTATTAGAATACTTCTTTACAATGCTTTCATATTTCTATTTGCCATTTATTTTGTCGTTGAGGCATATTTTTTCGTTATCATATATTTTTTTGTTTTCATATATTTTCGTCTTGTTTCAAAGGTTTTTTATTTGCAAACCTAGTAAAAAAAAAGCACGCCTAAATGAAGGGTATGCACTGGAAACCATCAAAACTAAAGATGGCGCAACTTTTCAAGGAATTTGGAAGAATGATTCGGAGGCGAGTGACGGAATTTTACTCTATTTCCATGGAAACTCTGACAATTGCTATTCGTATCTTTATATGGCCGATGCTTTTTGCAAACACTTGGACGTCTCTCATGTTTTTATTTCAGATTATCGAAGTTTTGGCGAAAGTAACACTTTCTTACGCCCTTCAGATAAGCAAATAGAAGTGGACGCAGAAGCTGCTTTCTCGCATGCTATGGACAAAAGAAAAGATTTCAACCTTCAGGATTGCCCCATTTATCTGTATGGGCATTCTCTTGGAGCATATCCAGCTCTTTATTTGGCTTCAAAACACCCTGAAATTACATCTGTCACCATTGCGAATCCATTTTATAACCTTCGATCTTTAGTATACACTGCGGCTCCTTTTTTGCTGAAGTGGAGCTTTTTA